ATCGGTCTTTGGGGACAGCAATGTTCAGCCCCATCAGAACTTTATCCTTTTCAATACATTTTTTCTACATTTTCCTTCCCCGCAGCTCCAAGTGTGGCAGTGCACTTACTAGCACCAGTCCTGGCACCAAAACACACCAGAGCTGAAAGTACATAAAGTGTCTGTGCAGAGGGGAAGCCTCACTGTATCCTGATCAGCTAAAAGCATTAAAACTGCTACAGGTGAAAAGACGTAGAATGATATAAAAAGATATATACATGGATTGTCTATGGCTCCCCACACAGGCAGTTGCAAAAGTGAACAGGAAATGAGAGCATCCTGATTCTGAATTTCTTTTTCTTTTTATAGAATATAGTTTCCGAGGTACAAGTTCAATGTGTAGATATTGAAGGACACACACAGGATACATCTGTGTACAAACATGTAAAACATGTAGAAAAGAATCACTAACCTTCAAGGGGAGAGGCAGTTACATTCTGTCTAGAAAGAAGTGCATGATGTATTTTTTCAAGAAAGATTTTTTTTTTTTTTTTTTTTTTTAAGAAATGGATGGTAACACATCTTTTCTTGCTGAATTGTAAACACAAACTTCTAAAAGCAAATGCTAATTTAAGTTCCAGGGTTACAATTTCAGGTTTGATTTCCTTTGGAAATTCAATCTGCATGATGATTTTGATCAAATGCCTTGGCTACGAACATTTGTAACACATGATGAAATGCAGACAAAAAAGCTTATATTTAAATAATCGTATAATAAGCTGAATGCACACTGTGACAGAATATGAATTATCTAACAGGCTGCAAAGTGATACAAGTTCAGTCTACAAGACAGATACAAGCACTGAGCACAGTTTGAGCACTAAAGATAAGAGTGTAATCCTCTGCCTGCTTTCATAAAAACTACTTAAAATGATCGAAAAAGGTTAAAATAAAAGAAACTCTTCAGAACTTGATGTAATGCATGTGGCTGAAAATGCATTTGCTAATTGTTCAGGATTTACACCATTGAACCAAGATGATTTAAAACAGTGAATTATATTACATAATGCTCTGAATTTAACTTGGGTACAAGCTACCATTGGTAACTCTTATACTTGGTCTATGCCTTTGTGGGGCTGCAGATTCAACCTCTATATTTGCTCAATGACTATACGAAGGGACAGAGTGAGTGACATCAGTTGTTGGACCTTCCCTCACCTTTTCCCCTGCGGGGTTGTCGCGCCTAGTGAAAATCTGAACTGTGCTGGTAAACTGATATTGGCAAGACAGTCACTTTTTCTTTGCCTGATTGGATAAATGTGCAGCTGGTTTTGGAATCAGTTCTTGTGTGCATGAAATTAAAAGGTGTTATTTTTAAATGCCCCTGTATGTATGCAATAGAATTTAGTTACCTGAAATGTCACGGTCAAGAAATACAGAAGATGAAAGACTATCAGCAGTACACTTAGCAAATCAAATGGATTTTATTATTTTGCCTTCATCTACTTTTTAAAAACTCAGGCAGTTCTGTGTGTAAATGTTTCTACTTTTTGTTTCTCTTAAGGTTCTTCTTATTATAAAGCACTGTGTCCAGTTTAAGACTGGCCCTAACTAGTTGTAGTTGCTGGTTAAATTTCTTGCCAGGCTTGGAGCTTTTTCTTCTGTTTTTATGTTCATTTTTAAAGGAAATTGTTTGATTTCTGTCAAATAGATAAATGAAATATTGCTATGTATTTTCTCATGTTTCTCAAATTCTAAAAGGGTTTCAGGACCGGACTGTTCTGTTCTTAATTAATTCCGTGTGCTTTGATCTGTGTATGTGTGCTGGTGAGAAAACCATTGTTGGTATCTGGGAGGGAGGTGGAGAGCTAAACTCCAGCAGCTTCCCTGCATGCACAAAGCCTGCGGCATGAATGGTTCTGGGGGAGTGCTTAGAAGTAGCACAAGGCACAATCACATCTATTGTGCTTCTTTTTCTGAGGGCAGCAAACCTTCCTGTTCCAACCAGACCCTGCTGACCGCTATGTCCATGCAGCATAAACCCTGAATTCAGTAAGATAACAGCTGTTATCACAGTGCTTTTTATCTGGGAGGCAAAGTCTAAAATTGCACCTGACCTCTGTATGCACAGAGAGGCAAGTGATGAGTGCTCTGCCTAGATCCTCAAAGGTTTTAGATGAAATCAGTAAGAGTGAGGCACCTAAATGAATACTTCTGAGGATAATAGCTTCTATGTCTTTTGCCCGTGTGTGGTATAAGGTAGACTACGAACAGTAATTTGTCAAATGATCTATTGTGAGCCTTAGAAAACACCACAAGACTTTAGCGTTGGTTTTTCCCAAACAGGAGTACTAATATATAAAACTAAGCCACTCCATTTATTAATGCAATCATACAAGTAGTAAAACTAGCTATGGTATAGATTCAACTTACTTATTTATAGGTCAAGCTTCTGGTTGCCCTAGGTCAATGATTTTTACCAACAAAGCTCTGTAAGAATAAATTTTCTTAATAATGCCAATAGACTTTGTACAACAAAAAGTAAACAAACACATATTGGTCTGTTGAGTGTGTGTGTGTGTATCCATCTTTGCATATATGCATTTCTGTACAGCACAAGCTTAAGGAAACAGATCAAAACGACATGCTACATGTCCAGACAAATTATATTTTTGAGCCTTGCTAAGGCAGCAGAATGAGTTCTTATTTTTCTTGTATATTGGGGTCTCCTTGCTTGCCCAGTCATTTTCTCAGATTTCAATTGGAAAATAACAAACAAAGCTAAAATTACCACACTACAAAATTAAATGAATTGGAATTCTGTTCCTGCATGAAAAGACTTGAAATGAGACGTAAATCGGTGTGTGCTTGGTAAAACATGGCAACTTGGTGTCTGCTCCATAAAACTGACAACTGCATCTATTTGTTTTTCTTCTGAATTTGATCAGGTAATTAGGTCAAAGTTGGAGAATATCTAACACAGTTACACAATCAGACTGAGATTTGTTCAGAAAATTACAACACAGTGAGGGAAACTTAATTAGTTTTTCCAGCAAATACAAAGGCACTAGCTTGCTTTTCCAGAAAATGTCTAAAGCTTTTACAAATACTCTAATTCAGCTAAAATCAGGCTAATTATATGCAGGGCTCAAAAAAACCTCACTAAAAAAACATCATTGGGGTTATAATGTCCAAACCTGAAAAGACAGGAAATACTGCATTTAGTAAGCAATTGGTTTGACAAGCTGGTATATATATTATTATATTAATTATATGACTGTAAAATTTGCTCCACAGACCTCCAGACCTGTTCAATATCTCAGCCACTGAATATCTTTTTTAGACCCACTGTGTGGACATGATGTTTACTGTACTTTATTCAAATTCTGCTGCAGGGAATCATCTTGATTTCCTTTTTCTTTCCCCTGGTCCCGGTGGTTCCTGTCACTACACTACCTCAGTGCTTCACAAATTCTCATGCTTATTTTGCTAGTACCTAGGGTAAGGTACTGGGGTGGTCACAACCTCCTTCTACATAAGGGGTGCAAGGGTATGGGAGATCCTTTGGGGCTTTTTGGAGATACCTAGTATCTGATTTTTCTAAATATTAATAATAGAGAACTCTGAGATTTGAAACACTACGTCGCCTGCTTTCTGCTGCAACTGTAAGTGCTCAATAATTTTGTGAATCAAAACTCAAGTGTGAGTATCCAGATAATGAGAATACAGTTAACAACCACATGTGGAAAGTGTGGTTTAAATAACTTGCCAAATATAAATAGGGGCTTTCTAGCAGAAGCTGAGAAAGTCCAGTTTTCTCGGGTAAGATTTAACTGCGTTGCCCATGCAGGCTTCCTTTCTCTTGATGTACTAACTTTAATGCTAAGTGGTTGCTTATCACAGTGTTTCCTGAAATTCTTTATTTATTGGTTTTCTTTCCAGCTATATTTGCTGAACTGTCACAAGCCCAGATTTTCTACTTCAGAGGTTCTCATCAGTCGGAGAGGCAGCAGTAATCTCTAGTTTTATTTTTTTTTTTAATTTATTATATAAGATTTGCATTTTTTTTAGAGCAGTTGTGTGGCTACATGGCCAATTTTATAATATTTGGCTAATTGGTGTCAGTAATTACATTCTCTCTTGTGTGTCTCAGTCTTAAAAATCACAAGCAAGCTCTTGAGAAATCTGTCTTTAATGTGTGTATGGAAGAATGCAGAGAGGCAGTGAGAAAAGGTGAAAGAAAAACATGAAAGGACTCCCCAGAGCTTCTGGAAGTAGATGATCAAAACAGTTATAAAGAACAAATCTTAAGAATTTACTACAAACGAAATTTTCAATAAGAGTCTAATCCTGTAATACACTGCTGTGGTATTTCCACTCACTTGTTTACAACACCTGTTAACCAGAAGAGAAGCTAAATGTACAACTAAGCATCGAAACAACATCTGCTGTAGCAGTATTTGTGCAAAACTGCAGCTCTGATTTTAAAGCATGTTAAGTATACCTCTGGTTTTTTTACCTTTAGCTTTTGTCTAGTTTTCCCTAAATACCAGTAGTGAGACAGTGTTTTGCAGTTTTATTGTCCAGGGACATGGTTTTAAGGTGTGAAAGCATAGTTAAGTTACTCAAGAGTTTGAAGTCTAGTACAGAAAAAAGTGAACATGCAGAGAAATTACCTTTTGTCTTTTAGTAAGAATTTTAAATATGGAGTTAACATGCTGATGTTTTAGTATACAAAACCCATTTCACAGTTGGCAACACATACATATTTACATATTTCAGTGGGAGCTTCTCCAGGTGTTAGCAAGAGAAAGAGAGGACACTGAAAGCATACTGAAATAAATGCATGGCCCAGTCAATTTACTGTCCTCATCTGGGAGTCCCCAAAAAGGGTCAGGCAGCGCGCTTACAACTCGTAGAGCGTTTTGCTCATGTTCTGCTCTTAAGTAGCTGCACATGATAGCATACAGACATAGAGGCAGCAAAGTTGCATGAGAGGGGCGACTCTCAGAATTACTTACGTTGACAGCCCAAGCTGTGCCAGATATATCCCGGCAGACATTTATCACATTTAGGCCCTGATGTTCCCTCCTTACACTGACAAAATCCTCTGTCATTACAGCGATCATGGACTGAACCAAAAGGGTTACAATAACAGTCTGCAGAAACAAGACAACACAGACACACTGGATTCAGGTCTCCGTATGGTGGTAATTCATTCAATACCAATAAAGGGTGCATTTCCAGGTCTAAAGGTAAAGGAAGACTGTCTATTAAGGGTATCTATATATAGTGAATATAACTACTGTAGGTCCATTTATTTGTTTGCATATGTCATTTCAGGAAAAGACATATTATGATGTGAAGAGAAAAAGTAAACAGAAAAGATATAAAGGCAGAAGATACCATGTTCTTTGAGGATAAGTAACGGATTCTCTTTTGGTAAGAATGTTTTTGACAATTTAATGAACATTAGAAAAGCTTTGTATAGTATGGATATATCAATGTGCCATTGGGGTGAAATGTTTGACATTATTAAAATAGGCTTATCTATATTGCTCGATATTTTCAGAAGTGCTGAATGTCTTTAAAGGGCCATATAAATGCACTTATTTCCAAGATAGTCTTCCTTTATAGTTTTGAGCAGTAGAATAATTTATGTGGATATTTGCCATTAAATTGATGAGATTGTATTTATCAGTGACATGAATAAACCTTTTACATATTCCGCAATGAAAAGCTTGAGGTGAGCAGTAATGTAATGCAAAACTTAGAACTGGCTTTACATTGCCATTTTCAGTTCTCTCACCTCCCAGTGGGCAGATGAAAACTGCAATGAGGCTCATTCCCCACTGTATATTTTCCACATGTTTACCTAATTAAAGAATGAGTAGGGTAACCCATTTCCTTCCACAACACTTACTGTGATGTTCATTCACAGCCCTTTTCTTTAATGTGATTACAATATCAAAGACAAAGACTGTAGCTAGCAGAGCTCATTTTTGGCACTCCTGTTCTTCAGTTTCTTTATTATTATTATTTTTAATGAAGGGCTGTATCTTATTTGTATGTAGACCCATGTAGACCCAGAGTAACTCCACTGTTGACTGAGACCACAGACATATTTTGTCAGCATCTGATCTCTGCTGCTGGTGAAGGCAAAAGACACACAAATTGATTCCTGAATCTGGGCAACCTGCTGGGAGTCTGGCTTCATCAGTGCTACTTTGATGACTACCTTTGGCAATTGTTCCCCAGCATTAGGTTAAACCTCAGCAATATTGTAAATGACAAAATGGAGTTGAACTGGGAAGTAAAATATATATTAAAGAAAAATCCAAAGGAAAACTGCAATAGGAAGAAAATTACCAGGAAGACATTTGTCATCTGTTGTCTCAGTGCTTATTAACTATAAATTACAGATGGCACTGTGAACATTTGGCATGCTGAAGAAGAATAGCTACCTTTGGCAGACAGAGTTCCACAATAATAATAGAGTCAATTAGCAACATTCATTAATGAAGTTGAAAACTGACATGCCAAAAATACTGTGCAAGGCTGAGCAGAATTATAGCACAGTGAGTGCCATTTGAAAAGCTGGCAATTCAGATGTATGAAATGTTTATGTAAACAGGCATAGAACTGAGATACATATTGAATGCAGGAAGTAAAATTTACTTGAAGAGTGTTTATAGAAAACCTTGAAAGACAAAATGCTTGGAATTACATTAGAAACAGAGGGCCCAGGTCTTGTACATTAAAAATAGCTTAGCTGGACATAATGGAGTTACAGTGATTTAAACAAGTGTTTGTGAAAGAAATCTAGGGCCTATGATATTGAATGTTTATAGGCACATAATGTTATATTTTCCAGGGAACAAGAACCTGACCCTGAATCAGAGGAAGTTTTCCTACTGAACTCTGTCATGTAAATACATAAGAAGAAGCAGTCTTATATTGTGCTGTTTAAGGTAAAGTAGATGGTGGAAACAAAACTTGAAGCCAGGCCCTTTTACAAAAGTAGTAGATCAAATCAGAACACCACACAGACCCAGTAACCTTTAGTAACGGAACCTAGTCTCCATCTTTCCCAATACACAATTGATACCATAGATATATAACCTACAGAGGTCCACTGAACATCTAGGCTTGTCCAACACAATATACAGGCTGTGGAACGCTTCCCAAATCCTGCAAATTATTTAGGATGTTAAAAAGCTCAAAAGCCACAATTCCAGTGTGCCACAAGGAGGCAATCAGTATCTCCAATGCCCTTACAACAGGGCATTAAATAACATTAAATTAACACATCAGCCTAATAAGCAGACCACACAGCAGGTTCCAGGGTGGGGAAAAAAGCCCTGCAGATCTGAACTGGGAAGGAATTTTTCTCCTAACCTCCATCTTGTGACTCTTTGGAGGATGGGAAGATGACAGCAGTAGTCATCTGTTAACTGAGATTCGCTGTATCAGTGTGAGGCTGCCAAAAAACCACAATGGAAATAAGTAAAAAAGAAGGTTGGGAAGAGGCTGAAGCTTGCAGGCTTGCTGCTTATCAGTCTGGGTTGACAATGGCTACAGGACAACCCTCAGGGTTCGCTGAACCATATATCATTAGGATTTCTAAAGGTCTCACAGGTGTTAACTGGAGCTTAAGCCTCAGTAACTGCAAGGCTGTCTTTCTTAAAGGTGTGACAATAATTACTATTCTATCACTTATGTTGTAAGGCAAAGGAAATGTTTTATTACTCTGGGTCTACTTGGTTTCCATGCTATCGATGCTTGCCAGTGTGTGCATTCAGTTAAATAAAAAGTTATTAGGACTTGATCAAGACCTTGTAAAAATAAAACACTCTGCAGGTTGTTAATTTCTTTTTCACTGTAAGCATGTCAAGTGAATTATTTTTAACTTGAAAATACCTTGATTTATTTAGAAACTGCAGTTGCCCATATGAGGTAATTTTGCAGTTAACTGAGAAATCCACAAATTTTTGATATTTCATTTTAGGAAATAAAATTGATTTTGCTTCTAAAGAAATTAAGGGCATAATGAAATTAGATTTAAGCCCACTGTATAATGCATTGCATTTGGTTCACTGGTAAAAACCTTCTCAGTATTTCAGTTATTTGTAACTTGCCAGTTTTAAAAATGAAACATTTTACATTTTCTCCATTTAGTTAGCATCGTTTAAGATTCACAGATTTGTTATCCATGTACTTACCATATGTATTTATGAAAACTATATAGGCAGTTTTGATAAATCAGATCCAAAGCCCTGTTAGCTGCTATCAAACTATCTTATCCAAGCATTTTTTACTTTTCTGCATATATGGCTGAAGAGGGAAGAATTAGTCTGGAAAAATTAGACTTTCGTATGTGACTTGCATGTGTCACTGGAAATCTGTGTATCAGAATCTTCATGCCAACATTCCACTCATACTTAAAACCCAAACACTGCTTTTAAACTCAGAGAAAAGATAAATGAGCGTTTCCAATAGAGCAGGACTCTTTGTGCTTGACCTATAAGGATGGTGAATCTGTCAGCTCTCACAGAGGTGAACATTCTCTACACTTTGCAGGATTAAATCTTAGGAGCCCCACTTCCTAAGCTCTTTAAGCACAAACTTCTCTGTTTTCTGAAAAGCACTTGGGTATCTGCTTCACTTCACTGACTTTAAACAAGAAGTATTACGAATGTCATCTTAAGCTGGCAAATCAGCAAGGATACATGTATTTTGTATGCAGCATGATCACTATGATCCTGAAAACTGTCTTAGTCCAACAAGAATATTATTTATTTAAAATAAATCACTTAATATGTAGCAAACCAGGATTTGATCCTATAGTCATCTTATATGGTACAATTCTCATGGGAGTCCAAGAGAATTCTGCTTGTATTAAGGTGGGAAAGTCAGCAAATGCGCCACATTGTCTTTTTTTTTTTTTTTTTTTTTAATAAGACTTGTTAAAAAAGGTTTTAAAATTTTATTTCTGCAGAGTCTGGGCAATTTGGAAGTGCACAGTTGTTTTAGTAAGACATTTTAAATACATCATTTGCAAATTAATTTAAAATCTACGTATTTTGGACTCCTGTTTTATTAACTTCCTTGTCTTACATAGCTACAGGTGCTGTCTCAGCTTTGTGGTGTAAATGGGAAAACAATTTACTAAATAAGCTGACAAAAAATCCCAAGCAGAGTAACTTAGTATCATATTCATTAGGCCTATTTAGGCAGCTGAAATTATACAGCCCTGATGTCATACTGATGATGTCCATCATCTTCATCAAACAAATATGAGAGACAGTGGGTTTTTTTCCAGTAACATTTGATTGGGTTAATCTTCTCGGCACAGTCATACAAAATCATGACTTGCCTACAAAAGTTCTTATTAACTCAGACTAATTAATGTCAAAGGAGATGATGCATTTTCTGAATGTGTTGTCAAACAAAGTTAAAAAAAGGACATGGGAAATGCAGTGCGTGGATGGGTCTGGGTGTTTACCACAAGATAAAATGTAACTCTATCAAACAAATAATAACACCCTAAGCAATTTCTGGCTTGAATCTCAGAAATAGATTAAAAAGAATATTAAACTATAATTTATACATCTATAGTCTATTTTGTCACGAAAAAAATTTTATAACTATTTCTTTTTGCTTCCTGGCAAACAGAAAGAAAATCACAGTGAAAATCCAGAACAGGTTCTACCAATGCTTATGTCTGTAAGAAACATTATATAATAAGTTCTTCATCTCCCTTTGTTATTAGAACAACACCTTTTGTGGCTACTTGTTAACTATGAGGCTTCCTTTATTGACTACGTTCAATCTTCACCTAAAATGTCCTAACTTTTGCTATATACATGTCTGTGGTGACATGAGAACAATGCATATACTTTGAGTGCGATAAAGATTTTTTTTTTTTAATAATATGCTTTTTTTTATTATGTTCTGGCATTTTCTTTAATTCTGTATTTTGGATGTTTATAACAGTTGCCAGGTCTAAAGTTTTCACCTAGGAATGCCTTTTCTAAATTGACATCACGCCAAACTGGTTTGACAAATTCTGCTCCTAACCACATGTGCATAATTTCAGTATCTCCTCTGCAGAGAGGGGCGGTAACGCTGCATTTACAGCCCCGTGCCTGGGAGCTCGATGAGCTGCAGCATGTTTTTATGAAATTCTGGTGAATAAAAGGGGTTAATAAACACCACTCCCCAGATCCTATGGATGCACCTGCCAACTTTTGGAAGTCTCCAGGCAAGTATTCAAGAGTCTATACTAGTAATTCCAAAAGTTAGACTGGGAACAGGTATTTCTGACTCAACCCTTCAGTTTTCACACGTGCGACTCCAGGGTGGCTCCCTCCAGCAGAAGGGCAGCACAACCAGTTCCTCAGGAGCTTCCCAGGAAAGTCTTCCCAGGACCCTTAGCCTGGGAAGTTCTTTGTCACATACAGATTCAGAGTATCTCCTTGGGGCTACAGGGGCAATGGAAATGAGGTGAAAAGTCCACACAGATGTTCTTATCCATTGAAAAAGCTCATTCTGGCTCAAGTGGCAAGGAAGCAGCAGTGGTCCCTAGCAGCTGCCAGTAGCTGAAAAGGCACAGAAGAGAAGAAAAGCCGCAGTTATCCCGGGACTGACCTATGCACACATTTTCATCGTCCAGCTCTGCAGAAGCATTTCTGAAGTAGCCCAGCCTGCATAACTCACAGTGCTGACCTCTAGTGTTGTGCTTACAGCTCACGCAAATGACCGTATTGAGCAGCTCGATGTAACTGCACCGGTTGGAGTGCCCGAAGCATTCGCAGTCTTTCAAGGAAGAACAGAAATGTATACAAAATGTATACAGCAGCAGAGTAATAGCACATTACATGCTTAGTAAAAACGAACCATGAACAGAGGTATGAATGAATGGCACATACATGTTAATCAATGTAACATGGACAACAGCAGATGTTTATCTGCGATGAAAGTGAAGTTTGTTTCAGGCATTTCAGCGTGACCTGACGACCATGGCATGACGTCGAAGGTTGGCTGTTGTTGGCAGACCTGATGGAACTGAAGCATTTGCAGTTGTAAACCTTTCAGGGGTACTGGAGGCTCAGTTTCCACTGATAGAAATGTACACCTTTTTGCACATTTGAGATGAGTATAAATCAAGACATGGGGAAAAACTTCCTCATATTAAAAATATTAAATACAGTGGACAAAATTGCCAAACTTCATCATGCTTAAATCCACAACTGTAAATAAATTAAAACTTTGTTCTGACATAAATGGCGAGCATTCAAAAATACTACTGAACTCAGTGTACTGTAACTGGTAGGTTCCTTCAAGACCAAACAAATCTCTAGTTTGACAATTTTGGCCAGCACCTCCTCAAACAATTAACAGAGAAGAAAAGGAGAGAAGAGAGCTGTTATTTAAGAGATGCTTCTACTATACTTTTCAGGTAAGGATTAATCCATTTTTATATTCTGAGATGAAAAACAATTGGGCCAGAAAAGATCATGAAAATTCTGAGATGTGTACTGAATTGAAAGCATGTTTACTGCAACCATCTGAAATACAGCTGGCATGAGAGCCGCTTTTTAAAAACTCCTCCATCAAACATAGGATGCTAGTGCCTTTTGGTCTTTTAATCACAAGCAATGCTTGGTTTTATGCAGAAAGAAGTGGAAATTAGAAATGTATCAATATCAGTACAGCTATGCCTTGTGTAGAAAGCTTGTGCAAGTCTGACCACTCAACTCTGAGATTACGAGCCCAGAATGAATGCAGGAAAGGTTATTAGGATGATCAGAGAAGTAGAGAGCCTATTTAAAAGTCAAGATTGGGATAATTTGGCTTGTTTAGTCCAGGAAACTGAAGACGGGATATCACTGGGCTATAAATACATCAAGGAAATAGCCTTCTGCCATCCTAAGTGAATATCTTCACTAATGGACAACACTGGCACAGGCACAAATGGGTGTTAACTGGCCATTGAGAAATTTCAACTGGAAATTAAGAGATGATATCTAGCCATTAGGGCACTGAGGTTCTTAAACATTCTTGCAATTTGTAGCAAAAACCTGATGCTTTAGAGATGTAGTTTATTAACTGGTGAAAGAGATTACGGTATGTTTCCTGCAGTAATGGAGTGCTGGGTGCAGTGACTTGGAAGGGCCTCAAGGTCTGGGAAGTTAACTTAGCCTGTAATTAGATCAAGCTGTAGCAGAGGCTGTAAAATGTTTCTATACATTACAGGGTCCAAGTTCCCTGTGCTGCTGTTTTCCAATAGAATCATTTAGGCTGTAAAAGACCTTTAAGATCATCTAGTCCAACAGTAGACTTAACACTGCCATGCCTATGGTATGCTGCTGGTTATGCTGCGGCACCTAATGAGCCCACTGTTTGGTGGTATAGGGTGTCAGATACAGTATTTGTGCCTGTCTGTATTTTTATAAAGAAATAGCAATATCGGTATGTGTTTACGAGCATGTTATGCACACCTAATACATATATGTTTCTTTGGCTGTTGTCTGATGTAGTGGACTGGAAATAGACTGCATCTTTTCTTATACTGTATGCTTAGCACAAAAAAAGTTTCAATCTTGAGAGCTGCTTTTCTGCTGCCAGGAAACATTAATTCAATCTACATATACACATTTAGTTAACGTATATGCATTCTTGTTCTCTTCAATGTTACACTGATAAACTGATGTTTTGTAGTTCACACCAATCTGATAACTTTGATGCCTATAACTGCTGGAGTACAGTAAAACATTTGGTGTATCAGTCTCAGTATGTTACCACTTGACATATTGAGGTGGGAGGAAAAAAGTGTTAATCCTTGTTGTCTTCTGCAGCCGGTCAGTGCGCTTCAGCATCTCAGCCAGGCACCCAGCAGCATTTCTCCCCTATTATTTCCATCTTGCTCGAGTGAAAACTGCCTGTGTGGGGCAGAGACAACAGATGGAAAAGCGGAAACTAGCACTAGCAAACAAGTCACAGGAAAAATGGTTACTGTTGTAAGTTTCTGTGTGTTTCATTTTTAAAATAAGAAAGACTGGTTAGTGATAAGCAATCTGATCCTTCTGAATCTCAGATTCAGCAGCAGCGCTTTGTCTCTCTGTCTGACAAAGGACCTGTCTTCTGATACCATTAAATGATTTGTTTTTGTGAGATGATACCATACTAATATGTTTGTCAGATTTGTGGCTAAACACAATCATACTGTAGGTGAATTTAGAGGAAATAATTTATGTTGTTTTCTTGAATCAATAACAGGCAGCAGAATACTACATTTTTATGTTTCAAAAATACGCAGACTCTAAAGAAGTGCCAGTAAATCACACTATGCTACATCATCTCTTGTGTTTAAAGTAGCAGAAAGAAATTGAGAATATTCTGTGAATGATTGACTGTACTACTTTCACTCTGAAATTGTGATACGACCTTCAATAATATTACTACTAGACATAATTATAACCATTACAAAAGCACAAAAAAAAAGCTGCATATAAAGTAATTCACTCTGTAAGAAGTCTTATTCCAAGTTATGATTTGGACTGAAGAAACATCTAATAATTACAGATAACTTAGTTTGTGCACACATGCTCCTAAACGTATGCAGAAGGACTACACAAGTTCAGATGTGGTTCATCAATATTAAAGGTAAAGAATGAGACCAATTCTTATACTTGGTTGCGTTTCTGTGGGTACTGCTCTCTTGTAACAACCGTGCTGTGTGAAAGAAAGCCTTTGTCTCAAAGTTAACTTATACTAACATCTAGAAAAGCTCTAGGAATCTTGATCACCAAACTGGTAAATGCTACATGGTATAGAAAAAAAAGCCAGTTAACTCAAAAACAGTCTAACATCTGATTAGAGATCACCAGTGATGCAAAGGAAAAAAAAAAAAAAGGCAAGTAATGACTAAAACAATTTTTTGCTCATTTTTGCTCCCTCTCTCATTTTGATAGTGTTATAATATGAGCTTATTTGGCTTAGTGCTGTTTGCCTGATTAGTGAATCGTTTTTTACATCCTTCTGTGTTTATAAAAAAAGATATTTAAAGGGTCCTCATGATTTAAGTAGAATTATTTTCTCCACTGGCTACCTTAAACCAGTCAAACATAATGCATAGAGTTGCATTCAGCATCATGCCAGCTGGGAAGCTAAAACCTGTCAATGCTGTATGGCCTTTCTAGCTTATCATATGGTTCACCTTAACAAGCGCACCAAGACTAAAAAGTGGACTGCTTATTAGAACTGTCAGAAGCACAGCTTAAGGTTTTTAGGCACATGTCTCTGCCTAGCAGCCCAACCGGTTTTATGCACTGGCGCACTGGCAAAGGCTTGCAATATCTGAATGGGGTGGGGAAGAAGTATCAAAATCAGGTTGCAAATGGTTTACCAACACTGAAATGACATGAGCTTACAGTGCTAGAAAATGCTGCTTTCAGTTCTGAGTACCATGTGTCAGAAAAGATACAGATAAACTGGAGTAAGTTGAAAGCTGAATAACAATAAAGAGTAAATGGTTTGGAAAATAAAACCTCAGAGGAGAGGTAAAGATAGCTAGATAAGTTTAATATGAAGGGAAAAGGGAGAAAAGATAGCCACGTTAGATTTGATAATTGTCTTTGGATGATTCAGGAATTGTCAAATCCCTTGCCAGCTCACAGAAGGTTTAACTGTATGAGCCTTTAAAGGCTATTTCCAACGCAACGATTCTGTTGCAACAATCTTGACTCTGTTGTAGAAAGCATGGAAAAATTGCCCATTGAAGTAGGCTCATGAAGAAGTTGATAATTTAATTATTTTGTTTCTATAAATTGAGTACTTTTTTCCCCGTTATAATGCTATGCATTCACATCTTTGAGAAGACATAATATTGTGCTGTATGGACAAGGTTCAGCTGAAGCTTCAGCTGCAACCAATAAAACATGAAATGTCATCACACGAAACATTGGTAAACACACATGGAAGGGAAGCATAATTTTTAAACAAAGAGAGGTAATGCATGAGACAGTTATCAGTGTCATTTTCTAACTGAAAGCACAAAGAGCATTTTAGGAAAAGTGAATTCAGAAATCATTAAAATATTTTTTCTTTTTCATTTTCCAGTAACTATGTGTTCCTCCTCTATACACTAACCAAAGGCAAAGGAGATTTCATTGCAGCCTTAGAAATGACCTGCTTCATAATAAACAGTATGGCTCATTATCATGATCTCATCAAATGGGTCAAACTCAGTTCAAACAGTTGTTAATATCCCTATTCCTTGTTAATATGTATTTCATGAATAATGAGATATTCACGATAGCTACAGAAAGACAAAACATCTTTATACATACACTTTACAGATAAATTGATGAGGAAAAACAATGAGAAGATCTCAGGGTTCAGACTGTGAACGACAGATATGCAAATGAAACAGGTTGCCTGTAAGTCAGAGAGAGTACTGGCGTCCTTCATTATGTCAATATAATTCCCTTATTTTGATAAAACACTGAAACAGTTGAAAATGTAATGCCTACACCCTGAATCTGCACACTGTTACAGAAAATGGAAGATGTAAGGCACACTTACAATGCATTAAAAGACATACTACGTATTGCACTCCATGGCATTCACAGATACTTCTTGAGGATATGGACAATTGATGTTTTATGTATTGTTTGCCCTTAACCAATCTGCCCATGTATCCTCTTTTACAATTTATACATATCAGTGAAGAAAACAAGACTCTAGCAAACATTTGCTCTCTAGGAAACAATCTGAATGGTCATATTCATATATTTAATTCCTTTAAAAACAAA